AATTTATGAAAGTAAGAAAGTTTATTGTGCATTTGTTCGTTTAGAGAATATGTATAATAAAGTGAATGAGTTTGAATTGTGGAATGATTTACACAGATATAAAATTGAAGGAAGTAAAGCAGGTGTGACAATAAATGGAATGCTTAGTGTATGCTTCATCATTGAGACAAGAAAGTGTGATGACAACTTGGTTGTTAAAAGTATTTATAATTAAATGTATAAATAATGTTTGTAGCAATGTTAGAGATGAGTTGTTTGGGGTATATGTGTGTATTTTGTATATTCAGAAAGTAGATGGGAAATTTAAAGAACAAAAGGCAACGTATCAAGTGGTGCATGGGTATGGTAGAAGTAAGGATGACTACAAAGACAAGGTATGGAGAAATACAGTGTATGGCATTGGTGTAAACAAGATTTAAATCTGTTGAAAGTGTGTGGGTGAAAAATCAAGGGAAAAAGAAACAAAAATGACACTGTCATCCAACAGGTAGAAGATATAGATAACATCTTTGCAAATTAGATGGCTGATGAGTCAAGAAAATACACTGCTGTGAGAATGAGGGGTTTCAATATAGACATCAACTGGGATCAGAATCCCCAACAGGTGGCAGAGCCAACAGATTCTTGATATGCCTTGCAGACAACTTCATAATCTAAAAGGTAGAGAAGGGAACAAGGGGATCAGCTGTACTGAAAATAATACTTATTAACAGGGAAGAAATGGTTAAGATTGTGGCAGTTGAAGGGACCTTTGGGAAGAGTGACCGTGTCATCCTAGAATTCACCATATTGTAAGGCAGGGAGAACTGAAGATAGTAAGCTTAATGTTCTACATTTCAAGACAACTAACTTCAATAAGCTAAGGGAAAATGTAGAAAAGGTTCCATGGATGGAAATCCTGATGTGAAAAATATTCAGGAGGATTGGGAAATTCTGAAAAATGAGATAATTAAGATCTAACACAAATGATACCAAAGAGGAAAAAAAAATGAAAGGCTGCAATGACCTGTGTGGCTGCAAAAATAGCTTCTGATTAAGCTAAGAAACAAAAAGGACAAATTTAAACAATGGAAAGAAGGGCAAATAACAGAGACTGAGAATAGCCCAAATCTGTAAGAAAGGGGTCAGGAAGGCTAAGTTTCAGAATGAGATTCAATAAATGCCAGAAAGAACAACAACAGCAGCAGCAACAACAAAAGCTTCTTTGGGTATGTATAGAAGAAGAGGACAGTCAAGAAAATGGTTGGAGAAGATGGTGAGATGGTGACGGGCAACAGGGAAAAAGCTGAACTGCTTAATTCCTGTTTTGCACCTGTCTTTTCCTAAAGGAAAGTGGTCAATCTGTAGAAGCCACACTGTTGGGGGGCAAAAAATAAATGCAGGTCAAAATAGGTAAGGAATTAGTGAGAGAACTCCTAGCTGCTTTGAATGAATTCAAATGCCCAGGTCTGGACTGATAACATTCCAGGAGTAAAGTAAGCTGTGGATATGGTCTCAAAGCTAATGATGAGAATTCCTGAAGTACAGGGGAAGTGTGCAAAGATTGGAGAAGAGCTAGTGTTGTTCCAAATCTTTAGGAAAAAAAGGAGGGGGGAGGCAGTGGACTCAGGAAACTATAGGCCAATCAGCTGGACATCAGTATCTGGGAAAATCCTAGAAATGATAATCAAGCAGTGAGCTTACATACATTTAGAAAGGAACAAGGTTATTGCCAGAAGCCTTGTTAATCACAGGCATGCCAGACAAATCTTACTGCTTTTCTTTTTTGACAAAGTGACTAGAGGACCAAGGAAATGTTGTGGATGTAGTGCACTTATACTTTAGTATAGCACTTGATAAAGTTGACTACAGCCTCCTTCTTGATAAAAGGGAACAAGGTGGGATGAATGGTCCCACTGCCAGATGCATTCACAGCTGGTTGAACAATCTTACCCAATGTGTGCTCCTTAATGGTTCTACATCATCATGGAGAGAAGTATCCAGTGGTGTACCCTGGAGTTTTGTCCTGGGTCCAATGCTCTTCAAAATTTTCATAAATGATTTAGATGAAGGTATAGAAGGGGGTGCTCATCAAGTCTGCAAGTTACACCAAGTTGCGGGATGGTATAGCTAACATCTCAGAAGACAGGTTCAAGGTTCAAAAGGATCTTGAAAGGGTTGAACACTGGACCCTATTCAACAAAATGCATTTTGGTGGGAAGGAATATAGGGTTCTACGCTCAGGTAGGAAAAACCAGATGCACAGGTACAAGATAGGTGGTACCTGGCTCAGCAATTTGTGAGGAAGATCTAGGATCCTGGTAGACCACAAATTAAGCATGAGGCAGCAGCATGCTGCAGCTGCCAAAGGAGCAATGCCATCTTGGGCTGCATCAATAGAGTATCAAGATCACAGGAAGTAATAGATCTGTTTTATGTTGTCTGGTCAGACTGCACCTGGAATATTCTGTCCAATTCTGGTTCCCACAATTTAGGAAGGATGCTGAGGAACTTAAAAGAATGCAGAGAAGAGTGATAAAGATGGTGGGGGCTTGGATGCTAAATCTTATGAAGAACAGTTAAAAGAACTGACTATATTTAGCCTAAAGAAGGAAAAGTGAAGGGGAGACATAACAGCAGTCATTTAATACTTGAAGGGCTGTCATGGAGAAGAGGGTGTGGATTTATTCTCCATAGTGCCCAAGGGTAGGGGAAGAACCTTTGAGTGGAAGCTTTATAGAGAGAGATTCAAAGGAGGAATTTCCTGGCCATGAGGACTATTGAGCAGTGGAACAGCCTGCCCCCTGGAGTCATGAGTATGCCATCATGGGAGGTTTTCATACAAAGTTTGAGCAGCCATTTGTCTGGGATGGTCTGGGGATTCCTGCCCTGGGTTGAGGAGTTCGACTAGAAGACCTCCAAGATTCCTTCCAACCCTATGATTCTATGAGTTCCTCCTTTGCAGCCTCTCAGATGGAAACACCTGAGCCTGCAATTCAGCTCACACACGCATGTTCATCACTAAAGTACATGCTACACCAAAGTGACAAGGTAATAGGCTCCACAGACCAGTCACATCACATCAGCAAAACCGGTATTTTTTAATGTGACTAATCCTTTAAATAATGCTATATTTGAGAGACATGCATGTGTGGATCTGATCAAATTACAGATATAAAATTGTTTTGGAAGCAAGTGATTGCAAAATTCTGGAAACTGTTTATATGTATTAGAAAAATTCAGCGTTTACCGCTGGACTTTCCACACTTTTGTTTTGCTTTGGGCTGTGCTATCTGCATCCTGTTAATGTAGAATTTGGAGAATGAATCTCAAGAAAGAGGTCATTCTTCTCACTGGAGTGCAAATGAGAGGCTGTGACATCACAATAAAGTGTTCATGGGCTATTACACTGTAACAAGTACCTGATTTCTCATCCGGTTGTTTTTACTGCCAGTAAACTGAGCTTTACTTGATAGCATAAAACAGTCTCAATTCTGTTCAAGTTTGCACAAATCATTTTCACGTTACAGACTGATCCAGTTAAAAAAAATGTACTAAAAATACATTGCTATGAATTCTCAGACTTAGACAAAGATTTGTATTTTATTAATTCACAATCATTTCTAAACAATCATTTGTAGTCGCATTATAATAATGTCATATTTTTCACTCATATGCATTGTACAGAGTGAAAAAGACATTTTTATTTTTTCCAGTGCAAGAGAATGTTGGAAAGAAATTATGTAAAGAACTTCAGAACTATTTCTATATGTCCATCAACAGGATTATTCCCCAAAACCGGACCAAATTTTGTATGAGAAACCTACAAAGAAAGATTGAGTTCAAAAATGGGCCAGAACTGGCCAGGAGTTGTGGCAAAATATTTCCCATAAAGGAAATCTCTGTGGGAGCAACAGCTGGGCAGCTGCTCAGAATGTTGCTGACTGCTGCATTCCAAGCCCTCCACGGGTTCTCTCTCCTGGTCCTACAGCAGAGGGTATCCTGCCCATCCGGTGCTTCCCAGTGCACAAATACACAAAAACACAAGGGGAGAGCAGAAACACCTGCACAGAGGCAATGTGCTTGACGGCCCCCCCATTAGACCCTTACAAACACAGACATACAAAGCAACACATCTGCACACACCCTAATTAGTGGGGGGGGGGGTTCTCCCTCACCAAGAAGCCATAAGGAACATCCTTGGCCCACAT